TTTGTTACTCACTGATCCAGATTTGGGGTTGTTTGTAACCGCTCTTGGCACAATGTTTTGGGTTTTCTTTTTTAAAAGTTTTATTTTTGTTGGTTCAGGAGTTTGGGGAGGATGGTGGCCACAGTTGTAATGTAGGTGTGGAGATACTGAATCGTTCCTCACGGTGCAGAAACAGGCTCCGCTGTGAGCGGCACACGATGTCTGCCTGTGGCGGGTCAGGGAGAAACCACCCGCTTGTGGCCGACCCAGCAAAGCTCTGTTTCTGGGCAGTTGGCACACGAGTGCCCCCGTGGCAGGCAGGTGGTTCTGTGCGTTACACCCTTAGTGTTGCTCTCCTCTGTCAGGTAGTGGGGAAACTGCCTCATGGGATCAGCAGATAAATTGAATTTAAGTAATTGTATGACATAAAGGTTGAAAAATCTACATTAGACCATAATTCTAAAGATCACAGATTTTTTTAAAAACAACCGTTTTATAAATTTACTTTAACTTCCTTAATAATTGAAATATTTTTTTTTTTATAGGTATAATTTTAAAACTTGAGATTTGTATTTCGAGTAAGGTCACAGAAATGCCTAATGCATGTGCGTAAAGTGAGTAAAGAGGCAGAGTGTGCTGGGCACCCTGTTCCGGGCGGGAGCAGAGCAGGGAGCTCAGTGGCAGCCGGCGGAGACTCCCGGCTCACAGGTCCCAGGGTCCCACCCAACGGAGAGGGTCTCCCAGGCCTTGGCGGCGAGTTGGGAAGGAGCGTGAAGGGCAGCCCTGTGGGGGCACGGCCTTCCCAGCGCCCCCAACCCCGCCCAGGACGGAGGAAGGAGGCGTCATGTTAGTGCCACTTGAGTCGTGTTTCTAGTGTTGAAAGTGCCGCGTTTTCACACTCGGTGAGTTTTTTGTGAATGACGTCTGTACTCTCTTTCACCCATCACCCAGATCGCCTGTTGGCGTGAGTGCCCCAGAGGTGCCCGTGCGCTGCAGTGGCTCGGCGGGGAGGTTGGCTCCCACGCACGGTCCCTTTCTCGCAGTGGGCATCCAGGCGGTGGCCACCACCTCCCCGGGCCAGGCCGAGGTGGCAGAAGTCGCCTTTTGCTGAATACATTGCTTTTTGTGCCATGGTTTCTACCCCCGTGGAAATGGGACGCCTCTGCTGAGCGGTGCCACCGCGTGTGCAGCGGCCTGGCCGTGCCCGCTCCCGCCATCCTCCCAGCCCCTGGTCGACGTGGGCTTGGACATGGAGGTCTGACGACTCCTGTCCCTCCCCAGCCCCAGGAGGGCTCCGTGTCGCCCTCGCCGCTCCATCCGGAGGAAGCGGACTCGTGAACCATCGTTTGGTGGGGAGTGTGCACCGGCCCGAGAGGCAGGACGCAGGGCCTGATGCTGTCCTCCCAGAGCAGGAGGAGAGGCGCGACACGGAAATGCGTTTTCAGGGAAAACCCTGAAAGGCTTCTTAGAAACTGGAATAGATTTTAGTAGAAAGCTGTTGTGTCTCCGCTTGAGTTGTCAAGAATTTTTTTATTTTAAATAGAGATTCATATTCTTTTGAGATAATTCAGGACAGGTCACCTTTTCAGCTTCCTTCTGATTTCTGCAGAAATTTATGTATAGGAGACTGTTGACTCAGATGGCTTCTTGTTCACGCATTCTGTCTCAATTTATCAACACGTTTTCTTCCACTTGAGGGGGAAGCACCTTTTGTGCATCTTCCTTCGGTGGGTTCTGTGCTGAAGACATATTCAGACGCAGCTGAGTTTCAGGAACCTCAGCATCTGCCTGGGGTCCCCTGACGGGTTCCCACGGTGCGGGGCTCCGCAGGGCGTGTTCCCCTCACAGCTGCTGCAGGTGCTGGGAGCTCCCTGCACAGGCCCCGGCTATGGTCCCTGGCCCTGGTGCTGGCACTGGAATCCCCCAGAGACTGCGCCGCCCATGCTTTGACCCACAAGCACTGGCAGTCGCTGGTTTGCAGGACGAGGTGTCTGGGTCCCCCCCACCTGTACTCACAGCGTCAACCTACTCCTCAGTTTCAGCACAGTGGCAGCTCCTGCCGTAGTGGATGGGATTTTTTTATAGCTGGGTGGTTTTGTTTTCATGGAATTTGTGAATTTGTTTAGGGTCCATAGAGCTATAAGCTCCATAGCAGCAGCAGCCGCCGCTGGGCAAAGCCACCTAGAAGGGACTCGCAGGTTCCTCCCGCCCCCTCCATGCGCAAACCCACACCCCCCGGACTCACCCCAGGGCCACCACAGGCTGCATCGAGATTCCCTCTGGAGCAGCTTGAGTCCCGTCCGTACGAATTAATAAGATGCACCTTCTGCCACCCCCGTGGCCTGTTCCAGCCAGGAAACGGTCCGCAGGGAGACTGTTTTTTCGAGCGTTGGGTCTGAGGACTCGGAAAGGCCGGGTAGGCCTTGCGGTTTTGTGCGGTGTTGACTTGTGTCCCGTGTTCAACATCACTGGACGACGTCCTTGGAGAAAGTTAACTGAATGCTTCTGGTTTTGTTACCAGAGACTGTAGCATATCAGAGAGAGTGGTTGGGACGTCTGTTCTTTTGGCAAAGGAGAGAAATACATTTATGTTTGTTCCAAATACCTTTAGGTGATATAATTTCAGGTTCAACAGAAATTCATTCTTTGAGGCTAGAGCTTAGAGTTCGCGTACTTGGTAGTTTGAACGATGGCCTTTTAGGGGAGGTGCCGTGTCTGGCCATCTGCTGAAGCTGGTTTAGGATAATTCATTCATAATCGTTTCTGCACATGTACCCATCTCTAATCGTGACCAGTTTTTATAATATATTAATTTCTGCAAGGCCAGGAAGGGACTCTGCACCCACTTGTCAGATCCCCTTTCCAGGTGCTTACATGATCATGGGGAGGTGAGGAAAAGAAGGTGCTAGAACCACAGGCCAGGGCTCCTCGCTTGCCCTCTTGGAGGGGCTGGTGTCTGTCCTCCACCCGCTTCAGCTTCCTCACCTGCTGTGCGCTCAGGTGGCCTTTCCCACCTTGTTCTGTCCTCATGTCCTCTCCCCCGACCCCTTCCCCACACTCGCTCTCAGCTGTCTCATCTCACACACAGAGATCCAGGGCTGTGATGGGGATTCGGGGGTGGGTGGGTTGTCTGTTTGTTCTTTGAGACAAGATCTGGCTGTGCCACCCAGGCTGGAGTGCAGTGGTGTCTTCACAGCTCACTGCAGCCTCACACTCCTGGGCTCCAGCGATCCTCCTGCCTCAGCCTCCCGAGTAGCTGGGACCACAGGCACTACCATGCCCACCTAATTTTTTTCTACTTTTTGTAGAGACGGGGTCTCACTCTTGGCTCAGGCTGGTCTTGAACTCCTGGCCTCAAGTGATCCTCCCACCTCAGCCTCCCAGAGTGCCGGGATTACAGGTGGGAGCCCCTAAAATGCTGTGACTCTACAATGGTACAAAAGTTTAGAAACAGAATTTCAAATTTAGAATTTTGATTTAAAATTCTTTATAATACGTTCATTGTAAGATAGGCTTTGTGCTAGATGATTTTGCCCAACTGAAGGATAATGCAAGTGTTTTGAGCACAGTTAAAGTGGGCTGGGCTGAGCTACGCCGTTCAGTGGGTTAGGTGCGTGAAACACATTTCCACCTCGCCCTGGGTTTGTCAGGACTCAGCTCTATGATCCGTTGAGAAGCTTCTGCAGTTCAGGACAGATGACTTGTTCAAAAAGCGCAGTTACCCTCTTCATAAAAGAAATCTCTGGAAAGATACATGTCATTCTCAGGTAGTTTTATGAGTCAAGCAGAATGAGGGAGAAAAAATTTAAGCACAGTTTAGATAAGGTCAGAGTTTGATGTGTATCTGTGATTTAGCCCGTACAGAGCATTTCTCTGAATGTTGCAGACAGCCGGCGGAATGAGTGTGCACATTGGTTAGTGTCCGCCAAGCACAGGTGTTGGCAAGGACGTCAGAGGCCCTTTTCAAAAGGGTGCGACGGTAACGCTGCCACGTTGAGGCCCCTTCAGGGTTGCCAGGGGGCTGTGGCTGTCCTTTGGCCACTGGATTTAACTGTGACGGTGAACAGGCTGACCCATCCCGTCCTGCCTGTCTCAGGGGCCCTTGTAGCTGTGCTCTTGGGAGGGGGGGCCCCCAAGAGAGCTGCCTGTCACGGTGGGCGTGGCTGGCGCACTGGATGGCCCTCCCACTGGGACACTGCTGCCTGGCTGCAAAGCAATCCCCTGGGGGCAGCTGGACTTGGCTTGGCCCCTCTCTGCCGTGTGCGTTTTCTTCTCTGTGCTTCCTTACCCCGCCCCCATCTCTGCATGGTGCAGGGGAGGCCAGGCCTGGTACGTGCCCAGCCCTGTGTGCTGAGCTGTCCTCCCCCACCCACCTCCTGGGAGCCCAGGCGTCCCTGGTACCTCCACCGTCCTGTGGTCCTTGTCCTCGGGCGTTGGGGCAGAGGCCCTCCCACTCTGTTCACATGCCACCCTCACACTGTGTGCCCCAAACTTGAGAGAAACCAGAGAGAAAACAAGTGGGCCGATGTAGCTTGCCTCCCTGCCAACCGTGGGGTATTACCCCTTCCAAAGTCCAGGACTGTAAGGACCCGGGTCCCTCCTGGAAAACCGTGCTACTCCGGGGTTGTGGTGTGACTCTCATCGATCTTGAGAATTTTAAATGAAGACGCTGGTTATTCTCCGCATAATCGCCAGCGTGCTGGGAGGAACTTAAGTACCCATTCGAATAACGCGCTGGAGGGGTTTAAACTAAATCTCCCCAAGGAGCAACACGGCCGCTCCGGCGTGTCGGGTGTGGGTTTACCGGAACCTGCACTGTGTGCTTTCATTGATATTCCTCGGCTTTGCTCTTAAGGGTTGGTTCAGTTTCAGACTCCAATATCCAAGGAGGAGTGGAATTAAACCTCTAGCCGTTGCCCCAGTCGTGGTTGCGGGTTGGTGGCGGAGTCTGCTGTGGATGGGGTGGGTTCCTCGGGGGCTTTGGCAAATGTCTGTAGCCCACTGACCCTTGCACTTGCCAGGTTGATGACATCCTAGGAGAAGGCAGTGATGACAGCGACAGTGAGAAGAAGAAGCCGGAAGAGCAGGAGGAGGAGCTGGAGGGGCGACCGCAGCCCAGCATGCCCGAGGCCTGCAAGGTGCTGGCAGCAGGGGCGGCATCCTCGCCCAGCCAGAGGAGCGTGGCCCGTGGGCCCAGGTGAGGGCGGGGCCTGGGGAGCGTGGGCCTGGGTGGCGGGGCATGGGGAGGGTGGGCAGCCCCTGCCCAGTCTGACGTCTTCCTCAGCACTGACGTAGTTGGGGGCCCCAACCCCCTCATAGTTGAAAACACACATGACTTTTTTTTTTTTTTTGAGACAGAGTCTCACTGTGTTGCCCAGGCTAGAGTGAATGCCGTGGCATCAGCCTAGCTCACAGCAACCTCAAACTCCTGGGCTCAAGCAATCCTCCTGCCTCAGCCTCCCGAGTAGCTTGGACTACAGGCATGCGCCACCATGCCCGGCTAATTTTTTCTATATATTTTTAGTTGTCCAATTAATTTCTTTCTAATTTTAGTAGAGACGGGGTCTCGCTCTTGCTCAGGCTGGTCTCGAACTCCTGAGCTCAAACAATCCACCCGCCTCGGCCTCCCAGAGAGCTAGGATTACAGGCGTGAGCCACCGCGCCCGGCCCATGCATGACTTTTGATGTCCCCAAAACTTAGTTACCAACAGCCTGCTGTTGATCAGAAGCTTTACCAAAAACATAGTCGATTAACACATATTTTGTATGTGTAGCACAGACGGCATTCTTACAACTAAGTGAGTTACGGAAAAGAAAATACTAAGAAAATCATACGGAAGGGAAAATACATTTGGTGTTCGTTAAGTGGAAGTGGATCATCACACAGGTTTTCATCCCGGTCTCCGTGTTGAGCAGGCTGAGCAGGAGGAGGGGCGGTCTTGCTGGCCTGGCCGGGCAGGGGCAGAAGGAATCCCACGCGTGGTGCATCCGTGCAGCGGTTCACACCCCTGTTCGGGGCCAGCTGTATCCTGTCAGATCTTACCAGCAAACACAGAATAGTCCGTGCTGTCTTGTCTGGTTTCTGCATTTTGTTGTTGACAGTAATGTTTTGGGCGTACCATTTTCACACAGAACGGTGGGAAGAGAAACCTATGGGCAGAAAGCAGAGGTCAGTCTCATCGAGTAACAGATTTTTCAAGCTAACATTCACAAACTGCTGCATTCATGGCAGCACAGATTTTTATCGGTTTTTATGATTTCAGGTATTGCGTGGGCAAATTTAATTTTTCCTCTTCAGAAAGTCTTTGTGTTGACTATAAGAGGTACCACCTGTGCGCATGTGTGTTCAAGCCGTCTGGCCAGTCTGGTCTCCGGAGGCTTTGGTTGGGTCCTGCGGGCACATCCCAGAGCGGGCAGAGCCCCGCCACCTCTGCACAGCCCCCGGCAGGGCCCGTCTTGCTCGTGACACCCGCCCACGCTCTGCAGGGTGCCGCCAGCACCTTGTGTTCAGTAGCCCCTGTTGGTGGGGTGAGTTACGTTGACCACACGTACGTGTGTGTGTGTGCACATGTGTGCATGGTCTACACGTGGGGGGCTGCTGGTTGAGGACACCGTCATCTGGGCGTTCCCAGCCTTTGGTGCAAGGGGGAGGGAACGGAAAAGCCAGTCTGCCAGCCCGAGCCAGCAGCCCTTGTAGTGAATGATGACAGTCCCCTGTGGGGCCTTCCCACTTCCACTGCACCCCAGAGGCAGCCACTTCTGCTGCGTTCTGAGTGGGGTACACGGAGGCCACGCACCGTGGTCCTGCCCTGGGTGCTCGCTGCTGCGTTCTCACTGGGGGAGACACAGATGGCACCTCCTCCTCTCCCTCAGTCCTGCTAGTATAAATGTACCAGAATTTGGGTTCTGGAATCATTCGGTGTTCAGTGGGACTATACATTTTTTTATGGAGTCCACGAGGACGCTGTGGGTTATACGCGCTGTCCTAAACGCCTGGCGTTCCACCCGGATGTGGTGGCGGCCGTGCTGGTACCAGCTCACCTCGCTTCCTTTTGCCTGTTTCTGAGTTTCTTCCCCACCTGCCACACAGAGCCCCCGGCCCTGGTCCCCACACCCAAGGGGGTACCTGTTATCACTCTTCTGGGTGTCACCTGTTCCTGCATTTGGGTGGAGTACATCTTCCAGAAGCTTCCTGAGAAAGTGCGAGTGGGAGGAAAGAAAAACAACCTTTCTCCTGTCCACCCACACGTCTGAGTAAAAGTTGGGCAGGAGGCTTCGCTCTCAGATCAGGACCATTCTACATAGAACTGTGGAGGCATCGCGCCATCATCTGTCTTCTGGCACTATCGGCGCGGGCCTGGCGCGGTTTGCAGGGCCCGTCCTGTGCCGATGGGACCTTTGCCTCTTCCTGGCGTGGCTGAGTGTCTGGGCTCCGCCCTGGAGGGAGAGGCGACTGTACCGGCTCCTACGGGCGTCTCATCCGAGGGGCCGTCGTTCTCAGCACAGCCTGGCGGACCTGAGCCAGCGCAGAATGAGCACATGTACACGTGCTGGGGGTGTGGTTTAAGAACTTGGTCTCTAGAACCTTCTCTCAGCTGCTGCAGGATCAGGGGCCTTTATTTCCCCTCTTGCGTCCCGGTTTCCTCTGTGAAGCAGGGACGGTGAGAGTGACGTCAGCCTCAGAGGTGGCGCGAAGCTTCAACAGGTGCGTCTGGGCCAGCACGGGACTCGCTCAGGGTCAGCGCTGGCCAGTTCCCGGTGTCGGGTGTGGACCGTCTCCACCAGCTGGTCCGTGCCCTGTCTGAGGTGTTCTGCAGGCGAATGAACGAGCAGCATTTCCCAAGCTGGTGTCCGTCGTCCAGCTAGTCCCGCTGCACAGCAGCTGGACCAGAAACCCCAACAAGGCAGGGAGGCGGGACCAGACAGGTTTGTAGAATTACTCAGAGAAAGCACTTGATTTGCAGCTCTGTGGTTTAGCAGGGAAACATGTAGTTTCTCTCCAAGCGGCTATGCTGTGTTTGCCTAGTGTGAAGCCACCTTCACCAACTTCGTTGAAACGACGTGAACTATTCTAGGAGAGACTTTTTAAATTCTGCGCTGGGTGGTGACGAGCCTTGGTTTTCTCCATGTGGATTCCTCGGTGGTTTTGCTCAGTCTTGTCCTCTCTCTGGGGTCTGTGGATGGTCTGGGGCCCAGTCTGGGGAGGGGGAGAGCTGTGTGGGGGCTTCTGAGCGCCCCACCCGCACCCCAGGCCGACGTGGAGCTGGGCAGGTTTGGGGTCGTCTGTCCACTGCTCGAGTGTGACGGCTGCCGCAGTCTTGCAGCGTGCGCCAGGTAGGGGGAGCTTTTTCACCTGGCATTGCTCCCCCCGTCGGTCAAACCAGGAGAGCAACTCCGAGTGCCAGGGCGCTGTGCCATCCTTGCCTGCCGGCCCCAATTCCCCCAGCTGGAATAGAACGGGACGGGCTGGGAAAGAACCTTTGCTCCCACGCAGCTTGGTTGCAGCTCTCCAGGCCGGAGGAGGAGAGACCCACTGGGCTGGGTGGGGTTTAGACCCAGCTCTGCTCTCGCTGCAGAGCTGCACTTCCAGCGAGACAGGTCCAGCTCCCAGCTCGGAAGTGAGCGTGGTGAACCAGTTTCCCGCCGTGAGCACAGGCTGCTGCGGCCCTCAGATGCATCGACGTGGGCGGGAGGGAGTTCAGAAAAAGCAGGACCCAGGGGTGCCGCCCTCCCAGGCTGTCCTTCCGGGAACCGTCCTGCTCATTGCTGACTCCTCGGGCAGGAAGGCGTTGGGGTCCTTTAATCGCCGTCCTGCCTTGTTCCATGGGCTTATCTGACCTTGGTGACTTTAGAATTTTAGAGTGAAAGGATAAAGCAGCCAGAGCTTGCTTCCCCTGTCACCAGGGCTGGCACCGTTTGCTACAAACAGCCACTCATCTTGTCCTACGGCCTCGCTTTGCCTTTCCCAGATCTCCACGTGCACGGTGCCGTCTCCATGGTGTCCGTGTTGTGAACGTGTGGCAGCTGGACTCTGCTCACATGTTCCCGCCAGCTGTTGGCTTTGGGGACCTCACTCCTTCCTTTCCCAAGGAATTCGGAGAACATGGATGTCTGGTTATATTTTATTCCTGTTCATGGGGAACAGAACCAGAAGTGTAGATTTTTTGAAATTTTTATTTCCAGTATTTTTATTTGAAATTAAGTAAAATGTGTTTGGAGTTTTGTTTTTTTGTTTGTATTAGAACATTTAGGTTTCATGAGGATTCTTCCCCCGTGTGTGACGACACGGTCCATGCTGAAACGCGGGCTGGTTTTCACGTGCGTGTGCTGGTTGGCAGCACATCTTGCTAATTTTGCACAGCCAAGCTGTTCTACAGAACCTTCTTTTTTCTTTTTTCTTTTTTTTTCTTTCTTTGCCACCGATTAATCTGCTTCACAGAATTTTAATATCACTTGAACTTGAAAACGATTTTAAACAGGAGGAAAGTTGTGTTTTTTATTTGTCTACCAAGAATTGAGTCATTCTTCTCTCAGGTCAACAGACATCGAATGCCTGCCGTGTGTGCAGCAGTTTGCTGGGCACTTACAGTCCTCAGAGTAAATCCTTAAGATAAAAAATCAAGTATATATTTGAGAAGCATTTGCCCAAACAAGATATTTTCAAAATGTTTAAAATACCCACAAACACATCGTCATCACCACCATTCACAAATAGTGAAGAACAGCGTACCCACAATTACGTAGGTCCTGCGTGTTCGGTTTATTTTTCAGTGAGCGCTTGTTCTTACTTTTGGGTTAATCATGGGTTAATCATGGCTCACAAAAGGCGACTTTAAAATATAGCATAAGACTCTTCCTCCAGATTGTCCTAGAGTTAGTGGAGAAGTGAAAACAACATTTAATTAACTGCCAAAAGATACAGCGCAGTGTTGCTGGTAACTGTTACGTTAGAGTCAAGAAGGTGGAGGTAGCAGTTTTGCTTGTCTGTTGACAGTAACAACAGCCAAAGCCTGTTCCCTGAGTACTAGGAAATTTTAGGCTTGGCGCCGTTTCCTGTCCCATCTGGCACAGTGATAAACAAGTAAGGAGCACAGCACCACGTCTAAAGGCTCAGTTTCGTGGCCCACACACCCAGCTCTCCGTGGGGGTGCAGTCGGCCTGCTCTGCGGCCAGCGCGGCTCTTCCCGGGTCTCCTGC